CTCATATATCAGATGAAAATCGTATTTGTACAGTCAGGTACAGATAACAGTGTGCCTAAATCTCAAGGTTTCCTTTATAAAAGCCACTTCCTGTCGCCAAGGAAACATGCTGACTCAAGAACACTATTGATCCATAACCCTGCTCAAATGGAATATTCTCACAGTATCATGAGCACAAACAGCACGGGAAGATGACAATTAATTCAAAGGTCATAAGCCACAGTATATGAGAGTTCTTCCACTGCAAGCACCAGAAATATAATGTTACAAAAAACATTTTTATATGTTCTGAAAACCAAAATTTATTTATATAAAAACAAGACTGAGGGATTTGCAAAGAATTGAAAATTTTAAAAAAGAATCACTATTTGCTAACACAACATTGAAACCTTAACTGCCTATATTGTGACTAGTTTAATCTCAGTTGCCAAAGAACAGAAAAACAAAAAACGATTTTTGCACAAATGTTGAATTTAAAACCAGCTGCATTGTACTCTTACCAGAATAGAAAATATAAGGATGACTTGTTTTCTCTTCACCACAAAAGAAAAAACACAGATCAGTCTATAATTCAGTACTTGTTCACAAATATGTTCATTTACCAACTTTTTTAGCAAATCTGTAGACTGAGATTTTGTTTCTGTTGTTTCACAGATTGAAAATATACATTCACAGATGTAAAACATACAACTTGGAACACAGGTGTACAGAAACAAAGGTAATTTCTTTACTATTTCTAAGTGTAATTGATCTCTGCCCCATTTATTTACTCTCATTTATTTTTTACCCTGAACAGAAGGGTGGACTATTCAAATGTTTAAAGTGACAGCAGCAAATGGTCTTCTGACCTGGTGCATCACCATTCAACAAAACACAATGTCTTCATAGCCCAGGATATTTTTAGGTGCCTTACAATCATGAATCAGCATTTCATTGGCTATTGATCACAGTTTTGTAGAGCATATACAGAATAGCCACAATAGTCAGCTGAAATGGACTATTGAAACTTTGTGGTTCTGCCATTGCATTGATAGAATCTTGGTCTCAACATTCACGTTAACCTACAGTGCTGCCTTCAGAAGGTATCCATTCCCTTTAGATTTTTTTTCACAATTTGTTATGTAGCACACTGAAATAGACATTTTAAGAGCTTTTTTTGGTTACAGATCTATAACAGTAAGGCATTATTATGTTTTCTATAGCGACATGTTTTGGATTGGTTTTGGTGTGAAGGCTGTTCAGATCTGGTCACTTTTAATTGACTACCTACCTCGTTTCAACTCTTTTGCCCTTCGCTGTAATTGAGAACAATGAGGGACAGCTTTCCCAAACACAACAACGATTTCTTGGAATGCATTTACTCTTCCCTGCACACAAATTGCACATAAAATGTGTTGGCCACATTCTGCTTAAATATTGAAAAGTCCTTCATTCAAAGATATCAGAAAGAATAGAAAAGCATTCATTATACACAGTCAAGAACGCATATTATAAGGAGAACTGATATTGGCACAGCTATATTTAGGAAGGCACAGACAGGTTACAGGAAAATAACATTATGATCATGGAAACACGCATGTAATGTAGTTTTAGCTGCCTCAACACAGAAGCTTATAAATGCCACATTAATCAACAGACTATAATTTGACTATTTTGTAAAATAATAATTTACTTACTGTAGAATTAGAGCTTTTCAGGGGTAATCTGTTGTAGCTAGTTTTTAACTGAACTTTCTAGCTAGTTTTTCAGAGTATGTCGTTATTTTCATAGTATAGAATACCTACTTTAGGTAAACTTTCTGTAGCGTGATACATCTATTCTTTGGCACTGACAGTAAACAGCTTCATGGCAGTTTTTCATACTTTGTCTTTCTGATCCACAACCAGCGTAAGGCCTTGTACCTTACGTTCATGCAAAATGCTCTGTCACGGCTTGTTTTACTCTGGTGATCTGTAGGAACAATACACCCTGTACAAAACATCAATCTGCCAATTTAATGACATGTTCCTTTTGAGTATTTCTCACATCTCTCCTTCACAGTTTTCTCCTCAACGTAAATGGCATCACCATCATTTCCTTCATGCATTGATGTACTGTATGCTTCTTACAATTCTCTGCTTAGTTACAACAGATCCTATTGGCCAAGCAAAAAAATGGATGCAGAAAATGTTTTTCAGAAGGAAAGAGAATTCATTTTGCTCACATCTTATACATATATTGGATTTTTCAGGAATTCCCAAACATCTCTAAAAATCGGGTAATTTGTAACATTTAAACAGTCACAGTCTTAGGATGTGAAATGACCCGTTTTTAAATGAATTTAGAAAAGAAGAGAAGGAAGGCTACCTCACTGATCTTTGTGATTATTGTGACCTGGGTTATTTCTGATACCCCACTTAACACGATTGGGCTTACTCATTTCCTGAACATGTTTACAATAACTTTGTAAGAATTATTGCAATTATTGTAAATGGTGATCTTGAAAAAAACTTGCAAAACTTATATACTGTAGCTTTAAATATTATTTAATAAATGCTAAAATATTGCTAGAATATAATATATAGAGTTAGAACACCAATAATAATAATTCAGGACTTGTTGTAGTGTATGTAAAGATAACCATTTTTAGGTAGCTTTTTATAGACAAGCACTTATGCTGTAAGCCTTATTACTTTTGCTCCACTGTGAATGAGAATCACATACTAAACACCAAATGCAACACAATATACCTTAAATATTAACATCTACTGCTCCACTTCACTTTGCTATTCTGTCTTCTGCCAAGTAAAAGGCTCAGGCATTACTTTCATACCATTAAAAGCCAAAATAGCTGAAAGAAAAAAAAATCTCAGTTCTTCAAAGTAGATCAAGAGATCAGAATTTGCATGGCAAATATGAGGCCAACCATTGTACAATACATTGGTTTTCTTTTTAATTCTGCATTTTTAGTTATGAAGATATTATATACAAAAGAATATAATATGGTACAAATTTCACATTTTGGTACAAATGATATTTCCTTCAAGTGTTATGTTATATTTTTGCAAAAGGAATTAAAACCAAGAAAAGGTTAAATGACAGACTCATATTTATCCCATTTTCCCTAAAAGTTCACAAAGCACACTGCATCAATTTAGTTTGTCCAAATTTTAATCCCAAATTATTTGCTGTCCTTGACATTGTCCTGAATTTTCTGAAGCAAGTAATCCATCTGTAAATTTAAGTTTGGCTGGCCTTTTTTAGTCTTCTTTCTTAATATCTGGTAAGTCTCAATTTTCTTTTGTCGGTAAATCCTTAGAGCTTCTTCTCTTTGTTGTTTGTTCTTCTCTGCTTCCTGTAAAGCCAAAAAGAGTGAGAAAACCAATACAGATTATACACCTGTCATCAGACACAATTATATCACTTCCTGCCTCTGTAATTAGTATTTTTCCCATAGTCTTTATCACATCTCCCAGCGTTATAGAATTGGTGAGGCAACATCAACCTTGAGAATTTAAATTACGACATCCACAAGCAACAACAAATGATTAGGCAACTAGGCAATAGTACAGGTGGCACAGCTGGTAGATTCTGAAGACATGTAATGTCCAGCTGACACCTTATAGTTCCTTGGAACTTCAGGAGGAACTTTAGTCCCTAAGCCATTTTTACAGATAGCAGCACCGAGTTCACTATGCCCAAGCCATGAGAAAATGAAAATAGAGGTCTCTCACAATCCTCTCATTATCCCCATGAAACATGCTCAAGCTATCGGTGATTAGTATCATATTTAGGAATTCCTTGCAGAATGCAAACTGGACAATTTTAAAACAGGTTCCCCCTTTTAAAAGATACAAAATGATCACGAGTATAAGAAAGCAGGCAATGACGTAGAAAATTCCAGACATATGTCTGACAGCTATTCGTTGCAGAAATGTTCTTAAATTCAGATGGTTTTTTTCTGCATGGTATGATTAAGATAATCTCATTTTTCATTAAATTCATCCATCCAACCATTTTCTAATCACTTTATCCAATTCAGAGTTGTGGGGCAGCTGAAGCCTACCCCAAAAAGTAATGGGCACAAGGCAGGATCGTCCCTGAAAGGGATGCCAGACCATTGCAGGGCACACAGAAATAAACACAAACTCACAACAGGGCCAAGTTTTCCAGAAGCCAATTAACCTACCAGCATGTCTTTGGACTATGGGTGGAAACTGGAGCACCCAGGGGAAACTCACATGAATAAGGGGAGAACATATAAACTCAGAGCAGGGAGTACACTCTGAATAGAATCCAGGCCTCTAACAAAATAACCAAAATGATATGTACAGTGGCTTCTAGAAATATTTAGACCCTTGCAGTTTAAATATTTTGTTGCTTTAAAGCTTGCAGTCCTGACAATTATATAATTATGTTTTACTTTTCACTGCTACTCTGCATTTGGCATGACCTTTGTCTTAACTGAATTTTTAAATATTTTCACCTAGAACTAAAGAACATAACAGAAAACTCGTCTATTGAAAAGTGTAACACAACACAGTTAACCTTAATGCAAATTAAATGATAAATAGTGGTGTATTATAAAAGATACATAACATTTGTTCCAGAATATCTGTACTAGTATCAGTACATGTAATGATCATTGACATCATGGACAAATCATTACTCCATCCCCAAGAAGTCCTTACCGCTCTCTTTTTAGCACGTTTAGCCTGGATCATTTCATACTCTTCTTTTGTTTTTTGATAGGAGGTCTTCTTTTTTAATTTCTTTGGATTCAAACTATTTCTTAAAGGAGAAAAGAAGGAAATGTAAACACATTCTGAGTTACACAATTAATTATTCTTAGAAGACCTAGGTAGATACAACACCTGGAAAAGAGTGATTGAATGTGAAAGCAAAAAACATTGATATACATAATAATAGCATAAAGACAATATTTCTGTTTAAATATAATAAAGACCGGCCATTTATTCATAAAGTGTACAAATGATTTTTTTCCAGCTCACAGAAAATACTGGAAATCAATTGATCGGTCACCGTCATTTGGACAAATGCATCCAGTGTGACCATGAAGTCAACATGTAACTTAAAACCATCTTTGAATGCAGCTCAAAACAACATTCCATGAGAACTCACTCTTTCAGGCTGCTAGAGGAACAGGACATAGTAAAAAAAAGTACCTTTTTGATTCTTCGGGTGGAGTTCGGTCAGAAAAAGAATCCGAAGCACTAATATTAACGGTGCTTGGGTCAACTACAGACCCCTCATCCTCCGGCAACCTCTGTTCGGGAATTAATTTCTTTTTCCTTTCCTTTGCTTCCTTTTGAAGAGCCTCTTCCTCCGCCAAGTACAAGTGTTTCAGGTGGTCCGGGTAGCTTTCTGAATACTGCACTTCGCGCTGCGACTCATGTTTTCTTTCTTTACGGAGTAGTTTTTTATATTCATATTGGACTTTCTGTTTTCTTCTGAACGCAAAACCTTGTCCTGAGAAGAGGTGGAACCAAGACAAACTGACATCTCTTTTTGACTACGTCTAGTCCTTGTACACTACTTTATTATTTTCATACACCCGTGATATATAAAATCTGAAACAAAAACCTGGATTTCTGTATAGGAATAGTATGCAACACGACAGAAGCGTGAATGGCTATACATCACTCAACTATTAAAAAGAAACGATACTTTATTATAAATTGGTTAACACCCATATAAAATAACTTGTTTTTTCACGCAAATTCTGCTTAAATATATAATGAAAAGCTGTAAAAGTCTGTAAACCATAGAATGATAAATGGTAAGATATCTTGCAGATTTTTACTTACCTTCTCTCACACTGCCTTCGAAAACCTTTGATTTGTCTGCGACCCATTTTCGTTTTTTGATAAAACCAGGGGAATGCCCATGTGATTTGATTGGATGGGTTTTCTGGAAATGGGCTTTTCTTTTTTCATTCTTTACATCAATCACAGATGTCATTATTCAGTTTACTGCTTTATAAATCTACTGTAGTTTTGTAACCCACGTTTATTCACAGACAACGCTACTTCATGTCGCATATTAAATACGTCACAAGACGTGTTTAGACATTAATCAGCAAGTTAGAGCAATCGTACAATGACCGTATCCATGCTTGTTGTGGCAAAACAAAATGTCTCCGAAGATCAGACGTGATCTGGTGAACAACCAGCATGTCTTTCTAGTAGGGTCGTTTGAATCTATTCATTTGCATCGATTTTTCATGCCTGGTAAGCAGAGGACTGGCAATACACGGAGTATTTTTACGTTGTAGGTGCATTTATAATGTCTTCGTTTTTAGTAGATGATATACCTCTTGAAGCAATATGGAGTAAATTAGACGCTGTTAAAGAATTCCTCACCATTTCGCTTAAAATAGCAAATGCCCACACTGTAGACTTTTACACTCGAGGTGTTTGGTCTGAATTCATAGCTGTTCCTCCTGAGAGGGTGCTTTCTGTGATGAGCAACAGCCATGAGAGGGCGCCACTGGATGAGCGATTCCAAGGTAGGATGGGTAAATATAATCAGTACAAGTGTGCAGCTGTCACTTGGGGTTTTTATAATGCCAAGTGCAAATCCTAGTTAAACGAAATAACAGTTAAGTAATGTTTTTTTTTATGAACAGCTATATAGAGCAGGAATACTGTCCTCTAGTAGCGTTTTAAAATATATATATATTTCTAAAATCAAAAGTGACAATTGGACACGTAGAGGTTAAATCCACACGGAAGATACGTGCTCCTTCTTTATACTTTTAAGAGGGATTCATTTCCACTCGTTCCTTTGTAGCCCACTGGCTCAATTTCCCACTCGAATTAATTTTTCAACAACTTTTGCTGTACTGGAAAGAATTATTGGAAAATTATACAAATTGCAGTTAAGAGGATTTATATATTGAGACTGCAGGTTCATGAACAGGGATTGTTATAGTCTCCATTCCAAGTCTCTAAAGTTATCAGTGTTAGAAGTTTTTAGCACAATACCATTTATAATAAAAACAGAGTCTGAATCAGTTTTAATTTGAGCTTGTTTTAAATTCTGAATAATCTCAGAATTGTATAGTGGTCTTGTAACTTTTTTCTTAGTTATGTTTGCAGTGTTTCTGCAATATATCAACAGGAATTCTGTGTAAAGTTATGTTACAGCCTACACAATCTTCTATGCAGCATTTAACAGTGCACATTGACTGCCTTATATAAAGGTTTGCCCATCACTGGAACCATGTAACAGTCAGCTTTTAGTCTTTAATTGTCATCCATGATTTGGGATTTCATTTTTGGAAAATACATCTTTAAAATTAAATTACTTTAAAAAATGTTTTAATGATAATTTTCTTTATATCAATAGGGCAGTTTGTGAAGCTGTTTTCTTTTACAAGGTCGGTGGTCCTTTAAAATGTTTCTGAAAATATTTGGCACCTGGAAATAAAATTTCAGATTTTTCTAATCTATGAATGATTTGAGTTGGAAGCTGCGAGAGAACAGATTTTGTGTCTGGATTATGCTAAATAAAAAGGCTCGTCAAAAAGTAAATGCTCTTTACCTATGAAACTTTTGATGTAAAGTCTTTTAACTCCTGATGCGGTTTTATCAGGAAAAGCAGTATACAGTATAATGGAATTTTGGATTTTGTGTGAGTCATGATTGTGAGCGTGGAGGGATCTCAGATGGCCTTTTTAAGTATAAATATAAGGTTTCTTTACTGATTGCAAAATGGCGCTTCATACAATGTTAAGAGTCATAGCCGTGTTTTAAGTAGGCCAGTAAAACTCTGTGGTTTGGTATATTTTGCTCCTTTCTTGAAATGATAACAGATCATGTTAAATTTACTCCTGTTTCCATCCATCCACTTTCTAACCACTTCGTCCAATTCAGGGTCTTGGGGGAGCTGGAGCCTATCGCAGCAAGCAACAGGCACAATACAGGATACATGCTGGACTTGATGGCATTCCTTTGCAGGGCACACATAGATACAAGCACAGGCATGCACATACTCACACCAGGTCCCATTTTCTTAGAAGCCACTTAAGCCACTTGTGTTTTTGGACTGTGTGAGGAGATTTGAGAACACGGAGGAAACCCACACAAACAGATAGAAGATAGCACCCTAGATCCAGAACTGAACCCAGGGCCCCAGCACTGTTCTTTATTTTCATTCTGATTTTTTGTTTTATTTTAAGCAGGCAGCGCATTGTATAAGAGATTATTTTGCAGATACATTTTTATAGGTCTTAGCCTAACATTGTGCTATTGAATGTAGCTTATTCACGTTTCCGCAGGTCTTTCCTCCCAGCAGCTGTCAGGGTTTATAGCGCTGCCCTAGGCTAGGACTGTTAGCCTTTCATTTGCTTGTCTATGGACAGCATGTTCCTCCATTGTACTTTTTTTGGACACTCAATTTATATACCTATGCACATTTTGCACTTATTTTATTGTTTTTACAGTGACTATGATCGTATTTTGCACACACCTATGTATTTATTTTTATTTTATATTTATTTTGTATTACTGTACATATTCTACTTTTTCGTCTATTCTGTTGTCTGTTTTTTTTTTGCTTGTCTTGGGCTGAACTGCTGTAACACAGCAATTTCCCTTTGGGATCAATAAAGTCTTATCTATTTATCAATCAAAAATGTTTTTCTGTTGCTTCAAACAGGAAGGGGCCAGCCAGATTTTGGTTTCAGCGAGGACAGAAAGCACTTGGTGGATGTAGCAAGATTTCTTCATGCTGCAAAAGCTCATTCCCTACCAAACCTACTAGTGTGCACATTGCTGAATGATCTGATGCAGATGCTGAACGAAGAGGATGTCATGAGCAAAGGTAGACAAGGAAGAAAACTGGAATGTTCACATATCTTTCATTTTTTACAGGCTTGCTGTTCTTGACAAAGCGCCATAATAGCCTTGATTAATCTGTTCAGGTTGAAATAGTTAATTTGATCTAGAGTTTGCAGACGTATTATTTGCTTCATAATTAAGGTTCTGTTCCTGGCCAGTTTCTACCCTCACGATCAAGAGTTTGACACTATTATATCCTTCACGTTTTTAAGGTTTTATTGCAACCAAACCACTAACAAAAAATCAGCATCATCACCTGTTTCCTTGTTTGATTTTTCTTTTTTGCACCGCTTCACATTTTGGAGTTGTGGAATATTTTAGAAATATATAAATGTTTCACACTGCAGTACTAAGTTCTCATGATGTCAAGCTTCTCAAGCTTGTCACTCATAATACTTACACAGTCCTAATGAAAACACTGGTCTCCTGGCTGAAGCAAAATGAGCTGTTAATGAAAATATAAGAAAATTATCAAAGGATGAAGTGATCCTTTTTATTTTGTAGTTTGTAAGCAAAAAGAAATGTGACTTTTTGTACCAGGCATAAGAACAATTCTTATTGTACACGCTACCTTTCATCTTTATTTTATTTGGTCACCATCGAAATAATTAAATTCCAGAATAGTTTTAAAATTCTTGCAGTTTAAATATTTTGAGCTTTTAACTTCACTTTATGCCAGCTACATTTCACAAAAATGTTGAACTTTATTTTTAGATGAGATCCTGAACACAGATGAGTTTATGAATTCGAAGAAATCACATGAAGTTCAGGTCATGTCAGAGGTGATTGCGGGATTAGCCAGGTATTGTCGTGTTTGTCAGGTAAGTAATTCCAATATTTTGGCACTGTGGAATAACAGCATTCATACTAGAACATAAATATTATTCAATACATATCATGTAGCATTAAAAGTACTTTTGGTGAAGTCAGAGTGCTGTTTTCAATAGATACATTTTCTTCGTTATAACCCTTTGTTGGTTCCCATATCTCTTCAGCTAAGTAAGTTGTACCCTGGATAAACTAATAATTACATAAAGGTACACTGTTTGTATTAGTACTAAAACACTCCTATTGCTACAAGTTAAAATACGTTTAGGGTGCATGGTTTTCAAATCAGAGTCTTTTGAAAACCTTACAATTCACTATTTCCTTGTAAATAGTCTGAAATTCGAAACATTTAATGTCTTTTAGAATTTCTGCGGGTGTTGAAAAATGCCTTGTCAACAGCTTCTTATTGAGTCTCAGCACAGCAATGTTTTAATTTTTCTTGCTCTCTTTTCTCTTGTATTAGGTGATAGATATTGGATCTGGCAAAGGGTACTTGTGCTCTTTTCTGTCTATGCAGTATGGCCTTAAGGTTTATGGGATAGACTCATCAAATACCAACACCCATGGAGCCCAGGAGAGGAACAGGAAACTGAAAAAGTATTCCAAAACCTACCAAAGGCACAGCAGAACAAGTCCCCAGAGACAAGTATCAAAGAGAGAAGAGAAAAAACAGACACAGGAAGAGAATGACAGTACCAGTAACCCCAGATTGAAAAACAACAAAGAAATGGAAGAACTGACATCACTCTTGGAAATGGCTACTTTGGACAAGCCTGCTACCTCATTCAAGCCCTCTGAGGGAGTTTTGAAGGATGAAACTGAGACGAATGCAGACACGCTATTCGATACAATAAACCCCGAATATCTAGAATCTGCCAATTCATTTCTTGGTGTCCTTTCACCTGAAATAGTGGAGTTGCCTTCTCCACGGATACCTCCCAGTGAATTGAGCAACGATGAGAAAGAGAGGAGGAAACATGAAAATTTAAAAAAGAAGGCCAAGAGTAGGAGTGACTACAGCCTTTACTCACCACTGACTTCCTTCGTTACTGCGGAAACAGAACTGCGGGACATTATAGAAGACATGGAGGTTGTTTATGTGCATTTACTATATTTTTTGTATTACTTGATGTTGTTTTGTAGTCATACATCATTTTTTATGCTACTTCAGTCTTAACTCAGAGCTAATTCTGTTCACTTTTCCATGGATGACACGCACACAGCAGCAGGTCTGTCTTTTTTTCTTCTGTTCTGTGGTTTCAGTTATTATAAGAGTAGGCCAGTAGGATTATCTACTTAATTTCTGGCAGTCCATCCATCTATTTTTTTAAGTGCTCTATGCAGTATCTGTTGTTGAGGGAGAGTAAGAGCCTATCCCAACAAGCAACAGACGCAATGCGGGATACACCCCTGGCAGGACACAAGTCTATCGCAGGACACATGCATAGACACAAACATGCACACGCTTACACCAGGGTCAATTTTTCCAGAAACCACTTAACCTACCAGTATTTCTTTGAGCTCTGGGAGGACACCAGAGCACACACGAACACGGGGAGAACATACAAACTCCACACCCCAGGTAGAACCCCAGGAATGAAAACCAGCGCTTGGAGGCAGCAGTGCTAACCATCATTTGCTGATCATTTATTATGCAAATGTTTAACTGAGTGAAATATGGTACTTAACATACTAATGGAAACAGTAGAAAGGATGTAAAATGCATAAATTCAGTCACTTGTATAAATAACGTAGACTTTAGGACAGTCATGTGCTCCTGTAGTACATTGTTATAGTACTGTACATTACAGTCTGTCATTCAAGAAATCGGAAAGTGCCACATTGGCTAAACGGCTGTAGAAATATTGATAGTGGTAATTTATATGACTGTATAACAATTGAACAAGTAAAGGTTTATTCCATGCTGAAAAGAGAAGAAAAGAAAAAAAAAGGCTGTGGAGCCTTCTTCCTTTACTAATTACCATCTGTCCAGCTACTGAATATTAAATTAACTTTTGTACTCCTTTTGGACACTGACACAGTTAAACCACTGTGTTTTGCAGTGGTGTTATGTAGGTAAAAAATGACATGAGCCATTTCTGTCTTATCTTTGCTCCAATTTACAGTAAATCCACACGTATCTTTGGCTTGTGTTCCCTTTGTTGCTAGATTATCAAAGGTGCATCTGTGTTTTATAAACTCTCTCTCACAATCCTCTAAACTGTGTTACCTAATGTATCACACTGGGGTTCTTTTACCCTGAAATAGTGCCTTAATGCCTTTTATGCAGTACCGCTCATTAAATACAGATATAGTTTCTGGAATTGGAGATTTGCAATTGTATATAATAATTTTGTTTATATTTTTAATAGTATAATCTCATTTTTATGTGGAGAACTAGGACTACATGTAGGTTGTTTAATGAAAAGTAGAATGGTGCACAATTAACTTACCCCTCATTTCACACAGCTTAAATATTCTGTTATGCAGATCAACCAAGACAGGATCTTTTAATTTATGTTACCTTTCTTAAACTTGTCTTCGGAGTATAATTAAAATAACTCAACATGATTACTAAACTTATCTTTTTGAATTAATACATATAAAGGTCAAATCAGTATGAAAAATAAAATACTATTCTAACTTCTTTTTTCCTACTAGAACATCTTTTAGTGTCACCACATGTAGTAACTTACAAGAAACTGAAGGTGGCAGGCTTTTACCATTGACAGTGATCATGAGCACTGAATTCTGTCCAGGCATTTTAACCTCATCCTCACAAAAAGCAGTGCAAACCAATTTGTGTGTGTGTGGAGAGGAGCAGATTCTTTTTAGACTAATGCTTTTAACACATTAATAATTGAACAGTAATTGAATAATAGAATCTTAATATAAATCTAATAAATCTTTTCATAGCCATATAATTACAAGACAAAATAAAGTTACTTCTGGATTTTTCTGTAGTAGTCATCATCTCTGTGCACAAATGTTACATCTAACAGCTTTCTTAATTCAAATTGAATTCTGTTAGAATATCCACTACAAAAGACATGTAGGTTAGAACCCACTTCATTCAGCATTAAAGTAAAGTATATGGCTGATGTGTGGCAGCAATTATGCACCATAAGCCTTACTACACAGCATGCAAGTCATGAGTGGATGATATGTTCTTTCACTTTTTTTTCTTATGACAGTATGCCACACATGTGATTAATCATGAAACAGCGAGTTTGCATTAATATCTGTTGTAATGATTTTGCTTTTCTAGGTTTCTATGCCTCTGTTATTTTAGTTTATATTCTTTTCACTATATAAACACCAGATTTTGGCATGATATTCCACGTTAACATTTGGGCAACTACCAATCTCCCTTCCAGCCACATATTTCATTTGTCCTTTGTATTACATGCAGTATGTTAGTTTTTTGCGCAAGATGGCAAGAGAAAGCAGTCACTAATCACCTTAGTAGTAGGTGATCGTATTTCACCGCAATGGCACAGAGCCTAAGATTAACCACAAAGCTACAGGATCTGTGGTACTGTATTAGAGTATTGTTTCTAGTTGGAAATATGTAGTTTTGTGGCTTTCCCACTTTATTTTCTGTTCTGGCTGGTCTGATCTGATTTGAAAAAAAAGATCCAGATTTTTCACTGCCTGTGCTACCATTAATCTGTAAACTAACAATAAAAACAACATCAGTTCCTAATGAAAACTTCAAAGTTAATATTCTAATACTTTTTTTTCCCTATAGGATTCTGTAATGGTCGGTCTACATACATGTGGTGATCTTGCTCCAAGCATGCTGAGAATGTTTGTGTCCAAGTCTGAGCTGAAGGCTGTGTGTAGTGTGGGGTGCTGCTATCACCTCTTATCTGAAGAGTTTGATTGTGCAAGACAAGGTAATTACATGCTCTTTTTTTTTGTTCAAGACTTGAATGTAACCAAATGCTGGATTCTCTGTTGCTGTGCATACCACATTGCTGTTTCTGGAAGCACAGTTAGGGGTTAAGTAAGATTAAATATTTGAATTTTAGGTTAATTCATTGGACAGAGTAATTAAGTAGAACTCTTTGAGTTTTTTGCTTATTGTAGTATTTTTGTTAGATGTTAGTGCAGAACAGATCCCTTTTACTTCTTTGAGGGGAAAATGTACATAATTACATTTCAGCAATGAATATTCCCACAAGACCTAACCTTTTCATACATATGGTTTGCATTGCACAGCGCATTGCAGCTGTAGTCAGTCTTTAACTTAAGTTTCAGAAATCACAAAATAGTCCTTTTTTATTTTCCCAGAACCCTCCAGCAGTTGTTTTTATTGTTATTGCAGTATTAAACATAATTCTAATCTTCTGAATTGCACCAATTTGTCACTGTTTTGAAATGTGTTGTAGAGTCAACTGCAATTTACAGTTTAAAAAGCTAAATACTATCTCTGTATAAAGTACTGTGCTTTTCTATTTATTAATCATGTGCTGTAAGAGAAAATCAGTGTACAAACAAAAGAAGAACACAGTCTCTTATTTCACTTAATATATTTTTACACATTTAAAGTTTTAGGGAATGCTTCATAGGAAAAAGGGACAGATTAACATCTGTATATGATAAACAAGTACAGTTCGATTTTGTCAGATGCTAAGGCACACCAACTGCAAAGTTAGAACATTTCTAATTATCGTTTATCTTGAAAAATACATCAAGTGAACACGACATTGAAAATGTTATCACTGACTCACGCATGGTTTATTTCAGGTCCTCTTTGTTAGCCTTCCTCCCACTCTAGGTTATCACTGAATTGCACACATTGAGTTGTCCTCACAGATAGTACAACATGAGGGGTCTAGGGGAGAGATTGTGTCTGTGTTTGGAAACAGAATTATTGTGGATATGTGAAGTATTATGCATGGTGTGTGACAGGATTTGGCCCAGTGTCTCTCTCCAGATAGAAAGTAGGAAGATAATAGGAAGTCTGTTTAACACATATAGATTCATACAGTGCAAATTATATATACATTTTACTGATAATATTTTGGCTGCATCAACATTTCATCATTTATTTGCATGTTTCTGACATTTTAATCTCATATTTAGTATTTGTCATTCCAGTTGGTAATCACCTATATTAGAAGTCAGTACATGGAGTGGCTTAGCAGGCATACAAATGGCACTGCGTACAATGGATCTGATGAATATATTGCATACTGCTTAATGATGCTGTCTCATCATATTTGTTTTACTTATGAATGTCAAGATTCTGAGGTTCTGACAGTCCTACTGATGACATTTCTTATGGAATATTCCAAACAACATTCAAGCATGAACATTGCTTCATGGGACAACATTATGTGTGTGAAACATTCTGTTGAATTCATGAACACCAGTATCATTTTGTTGATGTTATGTATGATAGTCATGGATACTGTATTCACGCCGAGAGCATGTCATTCATAACCTGTCAGACAATTCACACAGGCAGTGTGTCATTGATTGAGAAGTAAACATCTTTATTCTGTTGCAGTTAATTGTTAATTTTGCAATGTCTTATAAAATGCCTTGTGAACCATCAGTCTTCACTTTTAGGGGTAGGCTTTAGATATCTGCTCTGAGTAAATCAGTGCATTTTCAGTTCAACATGACTGAGCCTATTGTGAAATTTTCAGTTCTACAGCTGTATGCCCCTGGGTTCTTCCAGTCTGGAACATTCCTCACACATTATCAAATCAAAGGAAATGTTCTTCAGATTCACTCGTAAGATATACAGTACACATGTTTGTGTGTGCATTGAATATACCAAGATTTTTTTACGACTTTGTGTTATTATCACCCTCATAAAATATATTGACAAAGATGGAAATCTAAATTGCAACTATTCATCCTTGGGAAACTTTGGGAAGTTTCTTCTGACTTAAACAGTCAAACAATATTAAAGAAAAAAGAAGTCTTGTGGAGTTTGACAGTTCTACTAATGACACCCTTGGCAAATCGAGTACTGTTTTTTATCCTTTGACTCATTTACTCTCAAGTTCTCTTTACAAATATCAAAAGAAAGTGAAAACCTAAAACATTGTGTTTAGAGTTGATTTTAAAGACTTGCAGTTTTGATATTGATGTTGCTTATTGAAGTTCAAGAGATTTGAAAACCCATTATGATCAAATTTAAGATTGTTTCAATCTAAGATTTCCATTTTCACATTCTAATTTATTTTTGCCTCTCTAGCTGAAACGTAACAAAGCTGAAACTAAACACTTCTTATTCCATAGACTGGTCTTTGTAGTTCTTCCTTAAGTACAACACAAGCGTGGTGTGCCTGGCTCTGTCTTCGTTGTTCCAGTCTCAGACTGAACATATCACCATAAACATTAAACTAAAGCTGGACATTTTAAAAAGGGGCCTAAAGTATTTCATGTTCAATGCCAGGCAAATTCTTGTTAGCTCGGCATTTCTTTCCTATTTTGGATTGAAGTAACTCTACATTATCACAACGTGTGCCAACTATTTGCTGGCCAGACTTGATGCACAGCAATATAATGATATAACTGTGTGCTAAATTGTGATCCAAGAAGTAAAATCAAAGTGGGAAGTGCATCATACAGTATGGCCTACAACAGAAGGGAAAACCATTAGTATATATTTTAGTACAGGGGAGGGTATGTTAGTGCAGCCAATGAATGTTAGCTTTTTGCTAAAGATGGGATACACTGGCATGTCATGCACTATACAGCCAGTTCTGCCCTTGATTCCTTATGTTAAAACAAATCTGTGACACCAAAAGGTGATCAAGCTGGAAAATACAGAATGGGTGAGATCAGAGTTTTTCCACTCCTGAAAAAATAAAATCAATCATTGTCCACTTCTTTTTTTAATGTACTCATATTTTGTTCAAGCTACCTAATATGAAACAAAAAAGTGTTCAGTTTCTGCCGTACTATTTTTTATAGTTGTATCTTATTAATGCAGTACACTTTTTTGACTCATTACTGGTACATTGAAAATAACTATTTCTGTTTGTCAAAACAGAAACAAATGTGGAATTGTAATTGCTACTGATTAGAGGATCCGTCACTGCAAAATGAATTTAGTCAAAGCTTTTGGATTCCATCAAATATTCCACTCTGCTAAATAGTCCATTCCAACTTAATTTTGTACAATTTCAGTTTATATACCCAATGCAAAATGTTGTAATAACAGCAAATTGATTCAGTTTAGATGTACTTACAGTTTATTTCCAATCTGGCCTGTTTAAAGCCCCTATTTATTTAATTGGTGAAACAGTTTCTCATCTCTCAACCTTCAGTGGTAGATGTGGTGTTGCAGTAAATGTACTGTTTTACTGAAAATATCAATATAAAAGAAAACGTATGTAAAAGATATTTTATTATTTATTACCAACTGAATTGGTAATGGCAATGAAGTTAGGAATGATGAAACGGGGACTGTAATATTGAGTACCTCTGTAACAGTGCCATTGCATATGCCAATTGATGTTCTTGACAGAGCAAAAATATTTCAAATACAAGCACTGTTAGTGAAATGTGTTATTGTAAGTTAGATGCCTTTATTTAATTTTTATTTGACCTCTACAAGAGGTATATCATATTCTCATGCTGGATTATCCCACTGACACTGGCTGTTGCAGATTTCTGTTTGCAAGTCTCACTGTTCCTCTTTTCTTGTTCATCATGGACAGGAGTCTGAATATCTTGATAGATTGTATGTAAAAATGAAATCCCAATCTCAATATAATCTTTAGTGGAAAAGCAATAAATAGTTTATTTATTTATTGAACTGATCATGTGCCAGTTCAAATATTCCGTTTCATGTCACCATTTCACAGAGACTATATATATATTATAATTGTTTTTTTTTTTTACTTCTTACCCATAGCAAGTGAGCTATGTTTCATGGTTGACATAGAAGCAAAAATATGTGGACCACAGTAGTTGGTATGTCTGGAATATTTGTTAGGACTCTTTCTCACAAAAAGCAGAAAGAATACCAGAAATAAGCATCTCTGTATATCTAGTATCACTTAATTTTAATTGATATTTAAGATCAAACCTCAGACCAGTGAAGTTTTTAGTAATGCAGTTGTCCAAGGGTAACTGTCCAGTGTGCTTAAAATTTGAAAATAATAATATTAAATCTGAACAGATTTAAGATGAGCAATTATTTTATCCTCCTGACACTAGAGTCATGCCCTTGTAACAATATCTTTATCTTCACCTTTTCTAATGGTAAAATCCAGAAAGTAGGCTTTTAACGAAAGTTATAGAAATGCAGTTTTTTTTATTGCATTGCTGTAGCTTATACATGCAAACAACAAAAAATGGCATATCTGCATAATACATATTATAGATCAGTGGTTCTCAAACTGTGGTACGCGTACCGGCAGTGGTACGTGGAGTGATGCCAGGTGGTACGCCAAATGACCCTGGAACTGTGTCATGTGCGTTGAAAAATCGGGACGGGTTTTCATATTTTGTTTTTTAATACGTGTTGAATACGCAGCCTATGTACTACGATACAGTGCGTGCTTATACTTCAGTGGACACAAGAGATACTCTGTAATTCTATACCACTCTATAGGAATGCGTGCTACGGGTGCAAATGACCAATTGTATTTAAAAAAAGCTACTGTATCTCCAGCAAACAGGGAGAAAGGAGAATGTGCGTGATTTTGCAACAATGCCAACGTTGTAAACACAGGAATGCATAGAAATTCGTGCTACGAATGCAGGTAATCTTGTGAGCACACGAAAGTGTGATAACAGAAAAATATTTAAGAACTGTTCTGATTTGAGAAAAATACACCGAGCGTCTCTGTGTTTCGCTCCCATGCGCATGAAATAAAAATATTTAAATAAATACGGAAATAACGGAAACGCGGAAAAATGCAAG